AACTCAGAAAAATAATAATGTCAAGGCAAATGGTACCCACATTGTTATGGAACACAAGAACCTTGCATAAGACAGTTTATGCATAACTACTATAAGAATGGCCCTTGTATGCCTTCTTTTACTATGTTTCAGGGGGAAGGGGTTCAACTTCATTCTCAATCTCAGATCAGTTGTCCTGTGTCAAAATAAAGCCTTGGTACAAGTAGGTGGCCATTCCTCTGAACGCTTTGTGGTAGGACATATATATTGTTTTGATCCAGTTCTTTTATAGGTTTCTCTGTCTTTAAGCCCACACAATATTGAACATTCTAGGTTTGCTGACCACCAGACTGCAAGATAAAAACCAATGCTAAGATTGTGAATGTTCAGAATTTCTTACCTGAAAAGAAAACTCACTGAGACTTAGACTCTATGGAGCAAGGCAGTGATGTGACCACACCATGACAAAGCTACTACTGTGAACAATAATCCTCTTGTTTCTTGGAAATCTATTTCTCTTATAGCTCAAATTTTACTGAAAGTGGTATTACCAAAAAAAATTGAAATCATAATTTGCTTTTAAAAGCCTACAAATACAGTGAATGATTTTAAATTTCTAAAATGACATCACTAACATCATTCTTATCATGTTTAATATGAAAACTTATCAACAATGTCAATGTCACAGAGCACTCCATATAGTTGAATTGATGGGAAAAAACTATCTCAGTATAAGGAGTTACTATGTTACTGGCTAGGCTTCTAATATTATTGGCTACTGCTCCTTTAAAAAGCTGTTGGGGAGAAATCACAAAATTACAAGCATCAAAATAATTTTCCTAAGTATTTTTCTAAATGCACAAATGAAACAAAATACGTAAATGTGTAGATGCTAAGTTTATAAAAAGTCAAGCTGACATTAACAATCTGTGTCAATTGATAGCCAGTATCAAGTCTATCAGAGAAAGCCTAGGTCCTAAAATACTGTAAACTCACATAACATTCTAATACAGAATTTTCTTGACACTTTGAGGGGAAAATCTCTTCTGGAACATTTTTTGTTTTAGATTTTTCTGATATGGTTTACTTGAGATGCCAAAGAACATGATTTTTTAAAAAAAAAATGATTTATGTCATATAGCACTGGATATTGAACCTAGAGCTCCATGCTCTACAATGAGGTACAGCCAGAGCACTAACTCCCATCCCTTCCAGACAACATCCACAGTAAGACCTAAAGGTATAGGGAGAGATTGCATAATTTGTATTCAGACTCACACTACCATCATGAAATCAAACATCTGGGGCTAAGCTAAAGAAGGCACCATGAAGTCAGCAACTAAAAAGGGAAAGGAAGAGAAACTAGAAGGCAGGAAAGGGCATATGGGAGAAATGCTCAGATCAGGCAAAGCAAGGAAGCGAAATGCGCTCGGGAAAGCACAATCCCCAAGCATTTCGTTCTCCCTTTAGAAAGCAGGAGAGCAGCTAGAATAGTGTGCTGATCTTTCCTCTAAAAAAGAAGGTTTACATACACACACAAACACACACACACACATTTTTCACTTTATCTTTGAATACCATAAAGAACAGCACACACAATAAGTTCATTTACAAGTGAATTTTCCTACAGCCTTCCCATCATTGAAATCTGTCATAGTGTGATCTTAAATGGCAAACGACTGTACTCGCCATTCACTCCTGTGCCATGTCTAAGCACTAATTCTTCCTTCCACACAGTTTTCACGCTGCTATTTCACACATAAGCACTGAGATATGTTATGAACTAGAAAAAGATAGTGATCATGGATATTGAAATTTTCTGGTTTAACTATGCGTGTGCTTAACTAAAGCACACTCTAAACAACTGAAAGGAATTGTTGCACGGAAGGGCAGACAAGGGCTTGACTCAAAGAAGCAGCCACTTTCTCATTGCCTCCTTCTCTCTGAAACATGAAATAGTCAGTGACTGCCATAGTTGAAATATCTTCAGTGAAGTGATACAATGGTATTGTAATAAACCTATTTACAATGTGCCTGGCATTACATTATTCTCTCTCTCTCTCTCTCTCTCTCTCTCTCTCTCTCTCTCTCTCTCTCTCTCTCTCTCTCTCTCACACACACACACACACACACACACACACACCCCTGCTCACTGAATTTTCTTGATAGCTCTAGGAAAAAGACTCTGCTATAGCACCATTTTCTCAACCAGAAAATTGAGTTTAAAAAAGAAAACACCATCCCAGTGTAAGTAAGCTACTAAGTTTCAACTCCAGCATCCTGATGCTAATGGCCAATTACAAACTGTAAGTCATTACCATGTAGAGATATGCTAGAAATGTGAGCACCACCACCCTAGCAATAAACGAGCCTACAGCCAGAAGTATGGCAGCACCTCCACTCCAAACAGCATAGGAGGACATATAACTGCTAGGATCCTCTGCCTGCAATCACACTGCCACTGAAGAAAGGCAGTCGTCTGAACGCTTAATACTTTCTGTCAAAGGTAGCATCTAGAAATTTAAACCATCGATTTAAAAAAATCAATGTGACCGTGGCCCAATGAATAGGAGGGATCTCCTCAAGATTCCAAACCCAAATCTACATATTGAACTTTTGAATTAAGTAGAAGTCACAACTGCTATTTATCTAGATACATCATATGCCTGTGTTTAAATGATCATCCTGACATCAGAAATGTCCAGTGCCAAAATAAAACTACATACATACATATATACATACATACATACATACATACATACATACATACATACATACAGAAACAATAGAATTTAGTGTGGATTCTGAGATTATACAAAGGCTGAAAATCTAACGGACATGAGCCCATCCCATACTACCCTCACATGCCCTCTGGGCTGAGCAATGACTTTCACTGGTTCATTTCTGGAGAATGAGAAGTCCTATCATTTACTGTTCTCAAGCCGACAGGGACCTTAAAGGTCATTTTTCCTTGTGGCTGCATCAAAAATTTGGAAGCAGAAAGGTCAGCCACAATATCTTGCCATTTTCTTTTTTGACAGTTGGAGACAAAATCAGAGTCAAAAGTTTGCTGCCAAAGACAAAGAGACCAGATCATCTGTAAAATGAGGTCTCCTCATTCTCATACTAAAATCAGTGAATAAGTACTTTTGATCAAAAAAGCAAGACTGTTGTATTTTAAAGCAGTCTAAACTTTGGAAGAGGATGCTCTTTTAAAGAAAATCACAACTGAAGGTTATGGTTGAAATTGAAAATAGATAAAAATCGAATACCATCCCTCTACTCAAAATAGAGAATGGACCATCCAACCAACACCTTCTATACTGTGAGAAGCTACATTTTTGTTCAGTTTTACTGTTTGAATTCAAAATGGTATGAATAGTTAAATCTAAATGCAGAGGAGTTAAAACAAAACGAAGACTAATTTTTTAAGATTTTTTTATAGGGAAAAGTTCACAAAACCCTTATAATGATTATTTTTTTAAAAATCTGAATATATATGATTTCCACTGAAATAAGTTGAGGTGGTCAGTCCATATCAATAAAGTTATATAGTATTTCCTTTTTGTTTTCTCTTAGTATTCCCAATAATAATTTCTTCCCATCTACTAATGGGTGGAACAAGGTTTATATGGAATAGTATAAAATCTTGACACTCTTACTTTCTTTCATCTTATCTGTCCATTTAAATGATCATCTTGAAATCAGAAATGCCCAGTGGCAAAACAAACAAACAAACAAACAAATCTTGTGTTTAAATTTCAGATCAAAACCTTAACACAACACAAACTATCAAAATGATGCTATAGACATTCAGCTGACCTTGGCTGAAGTATAGAAATTTGACATAGCAAAATGCTACAAATAACTATATTTCATATGTGATATAACTGTGGCAGTCTTTTTGAAGTACCAGATACAGGGAACTCCTGTGGCCACTGCATACCTAAACTGACAGGGAACTAGCAAGTGTCGCCTGGATTTTCTGTTTTTAGTGTTATAGTAAATGAAAGTGAAAAATCAAATCCTATGAATACAGGCTTCAAAGATGAAGGTCTCTCATTAATCACTAGATTTTTCAAAAGGTTTGTATCTAAAGCCTAATTTTGTATATTGGACTTTTAAATCAAGTAGAAACTTCAACTTCTCTTTATCTTAATACATCAAAAACGTTTCAGACTACATTTTCTTAACGTACAAGTTGAAACACCAACACTTAGACTTTTCCAAACCTAGGAGGTCAATGTCTTCCTGTGAGGCAGGAAACACATGGCTATATGCATCAGCCATATCTGTGCTAGAGCTATCGCACAGGAGCAACACCTACACACACATCATCTGTTCAAAAATTTATATCATTCTAGATTGTGATTTTTTAAGGCAATAGCACAAAACTTGAGGACTATACACAGTTAGCAAACCTGAACTACACAATACAGTATTATCCAGCATGAGCAAAGGCTTTGCAGCAGATCTTTGGAAATCACTCATTCTCTGAAGAGACGCTCTATATCCAGTGAATAGCAATGTCCCATTTCCCAGCCCAGCCCGTGGCCATGCTGTGGCCATTCTATTTTGTGTTTCTGCAAGTTAGACAATTTCAGATACTTCATATAAGTGGATCCCACAGTCTCTGTCCTTCTGGGCAGCCTTATCTCACTGGAGAACATTTTCAGAATAACCTTATCAAAAAGGAAAGCCATAGATCCCTGTAGGCAGAAATGTGTCCAAAGAGTTTATGTCAGATAGAAGAAATGACAGCAAATGACATTGTGTTGGCTGTTTATATAGCATGCATGCAGATACACATAGCATATTGTAATGGAGATATGTATCTATATTTTTCCACATATGTTTAACATTGTTCCACCGCTCCTCCATCTTCCTTTGTGTAACACCATTATTTTCCATTTCAACCCCAGCTGCGTCATTGCTGCTGCCAGACTCTCTGGTGGTTTTTTTTTTTTTTTTTGGAGAAAATATACAATTTAAAATTGTGTTTTTTCTTTTTTTTTTATCAGAAAGGAAAGTCATCAAGACTTAGATTTTATTTTAGGAACAAAGTAAGGTTTCATGGGAGCAAAAAAGAAAGCCTTGGTGTAGAGAAGGTTTGTTCATTTTCTATAGCATTACTGAAGTGTCGTATGCCTTGATAACCCTATCAATGTTTGGATCATCTCAGTGGGGGAAATGCCTTAATTTAACTCTATTTTGCTGTCTCGGCAAAGGTAAGTTGTCTATTTTGAGAGCCTTGAGTTTTGTTGGGTTTGGTTTTGTTTTGTTTTTTTCTGAACTGGGAAATTCTGTACTGGTGTGTTTATCAATAACATATAGTCTACTGAGCTAACTTACTGCCTCAGTTTCCTAAGTATAAAATACAAGTGGCCAGTGGGTGGAGGAGGTGGTGATGGGAGTTGGCCATTCATTACGGACCTGCCTTAAAACAGTAACTTATGTTCATCAAAGAGTAGGCAAGAGAAACAAGTCAATGCAGGTTGGTCATGGGTCCCAGGATACTCACATTCTCTTATTTTGTGCTCTCTAGTGTCTCTCTTTCAATGCCATCATGGAAGAGCTGGGAATCTCACTAAAGAATCAGAAAAAATTAAAGAAAAAGTCAAGAACTAAGGGCAAATCTTCTTTCACAAGTATCCTTACTTGTCATCAGAGACGAACTCAGAGAAAAGAGACTGTGGCATGATCCAAGAACATACAACTCTAAGAAGAGAAGGCCACGCCCACTACACATATTTGGAGGACAGATTTCTGAGGAATTTGAGATGTGTTTCCACATATCTTTATCCATAGCTCCAATCATGGATAGAGGAGAAGAAATGCACAATTTTTAAAGCTCACATAGATATTACTTGAGAAGTGAAACTGATTCTTTCAGATGGATTTGTATGCACACTTATTTTGAATTTTTTCTTTTCCTCCAATAAATTGCTATGTGTGCTTTCTGAATAATAATAAACAAGCAGATTTTGTTTTTCATAGCAAGTTTGAGCCTCAGTTTGTTCCCCATTTTGTCTCCTCCTTCCCAGTGCTGAGTGTTAAGTATCACTAGATATAAAATTTGGTGTTCTGAGGAATCTGCTAATAAAGTCATTTAGGACTGAGTTTAAAATTAGTTTCTTTCAGTTTATAGAGTATACCTTCTTAAAATATAAAGAAAAGCCATTTATCTTTGTGTTCTAAGAATCAAATTTTAAACATGGTTTAAATATTATTTGAACATTAGCAAGTGTGTTATAAAAGAGTGATTTTTTTTAAAGGAGAAAATATATTTTAAAAGTAAAGCACCACATCCTAAGGCATCATACTGAGATCATGTGAGAAAAATATTTAAGCTTTCTGTCCTCGTACAAAGGAGAGGAAAATGTCTATTGTTTAACATATGTGTTCTCTGTCCTTATACAAACAAGAAGAAAATATCTACTGCAGGAAGCAGGATCAAGCATGCAGAAGCAGCTTCCTGAGGGGCAAAGATGCAGAATGACACAGGCATCATCAAGTGACTTACTATGAGGGAAGAAGATGGAAGCCATAAGGGTTCCAGGCACTGTGTTCAAAGGCACTCAAAAAAAAAAAAAAAAAAGACTGTAATGTTAGGTGGGGAAAGTAGTTTAATACATTTAAAACATAAAATTCAAGATGTGATAAGCCCAAGAGCAGTCATCACTCTAGCTGAGGGAAAACAGATGAAAGAGGATTGGAAAAAAAACAAAAACAGGAGAACACACTGGAAGTTCTTCCATGAACCAAAATGTCATCAAGTCTGAACCAGATCAGAGCAGAGAAAGCACAGGGCCATGGGGGTCACCTTGGGATGATTCAGTTAGCAATTCAGCAAGAGTCATGAAGTATGAGTGGAATTAGGAGGAAATGGAGTAATTAGAGATGTCACCTACCTAATGGGAAACAGCTGTCATTCATCTTGCTGAAAAACAAGAGAAAGAAGAAATTAACTCAATGTTTCATTTACTTGAATCTCATTTTTATATGATTATTTCCTAAATTCAGGAAACTTTAAAGCAGTCTCCTCGGAATCTGAACACAAACACATTTCCACACATGAAAACAGAGACAAAATACCAAGCCAGACACACCTATAATCCTGACGTTTGAGAAGTAAAGATAGAGGTATCAGGAACCCAAGGCAAGCCTCTGCTACATATAAAGTTTGAGGCCATCCTGTGCTACATGGACGACTAGCACCCCACACCAAGCAAAGACCCTGAAAATGGCAATAAAGATACTAAAGAGCTATTTTGCTCCACAGTATCCAATACTCAGAATTCAAATTAATCAGATTTGATTTGGCAATAAATAGAAAAAATAGACCAAAAAGGATGCACTAGAGGGGAGATGGAGTTGAAGTGGGAGGAGTAGAGGAAGGGAAAGCTGTAATCAAGAGATACATTGTATGTGAAAAGAGTCTACTTTTAATAAAAGGGGGAAAACAACATATTAAAATGAAATTAAAGAGGGGTTGGAGAGATGGCTCAGAAGAGTACTGGTTGCTCTTCCAAAGTCCCAGGTTCAATTCTCAGTAACGACATGGCAGTTCACAAATGTCTGTAACTCTAACTCCAGAAGATCTGACATCCTCACAAAGATATCTGTCCAGGCAAAGCACCAATACATATAAAATAAAAACAAGTCATTTAAAAATAAAATTAACCGATACCAGCCAGCAGTTTTCCCATTAAATGTTATAGGCTATAAAAAAAATACTCTTTCTTGTGATGAAAAAAAAACCTTTTTGTAAATAAAAATATAACATTAAACAGTTGCAATAGAAATATTAGAAGTCCTGTTTCCACAGCAAAATGTCAGTCAAATTACTTATAACTTGAGGAAATCCCAATGAAACATTACAAATCATTGATTACTGAATCATATTAACCCTAGATAGCTGAAGGTAGTTTAGGATGATATTTTGGAAAGGAAAATGTACCTTATTCACATCATTAAAAGCTGTATAAAATTACTATGTTTTGCATTTTAATAGTTTTATATGTCCCCATTTTTCTTATTTTTGAAAATACTTGTTTTCACATCTTATTACACTAATTTCTGAGGATAAAAGTGTATAAAATTCTAATATTTAGAACATATTGAATGCCAGTCTCTCTGTAAAGATACTCAAATGTCCAATCATTGATTTGCTTACATTTTTGTTGCTGTGTGAAAACACTATGGCCAAAAGCAACTCAGGGAAATAGTTTATTCATTGAGGGAAGTCAAGGAAGGAGCTCAAGTAAGACGTTGGAAAAGAAACATGGAGAAATACTGTTTGCAGGCTTGCTTGCAGGGTCCTGCTTAACCAGCTTTCTTATACTGTCCAGAACCATCTGCCCAGGGAATGGTGTCACTCACAGTAGGCTAGGTCCTCCTACAGTAGTTTACAATCATGACAATCCCCTCAGACATGCTGCAATCTGATCTGAGAAATTATCCCTCAGTTGAAGCTAAATCACAGCCTTACCCTCTCACCTTCATAACTGAATTTTCTTTCAAATAATATAAAGTTTGCTACATGAAGTTCTGTTAAAAGTATATTGAAGTAGGTAAAATTGCCAAAGAGGAATTTTTTAAACTAAGTATAAATGCAGTACACAATCATCTGATGTTTTCATCCATAAAAATCCATCCACATGCCTGGCTCTGTGTGAGTCTGTGTGCTTCCCAGTGAAGAATGGAGTAAGCTAATGAATTCAGAAGTCAGAAGAAACTACAGAGAATTTGAAACCTGGTCCAGAAAAATTCTTGAGAATAAGCATTAATCTCTGAGATTTTCATCCGAGTCACTAAAGAGCAGTGACTCATACAGAGTTATGTACAAATCAATGGCAAAGTTAATTAAAAACTAGGTCTAACATTTCTTCCTTCAGCAATTTCCTTGATGCTAAAAGAATTAGATCGCTCAGGTGAGAGATTCGGGATGGGAGAGAAAGGTCGGGGTTGTAGGAATGGTGATGTTCACAGTTGAAATTGATTTTCCATTCACATCTCACCTGGCCCTCAATGCAGGAAAAAACGGAAAAGAAACAACTTGCTTCCCCTGTGAGTTGAACACCTACCTGGGGCTCTGACTTCTCACTCAAAAGAAAGAGGAAAGAAAGTCAGGCCAGTTAAAAAAACTAAATAAATGTAAAGTTGACCTGACTGGGCATTTTATTTTCTACCTCAGCAGATTCACCTCTAGTTTAACTCTTTGTCATACTAAAATGGATATAAGATGTTCTTTATCTGAGGGGATTCTGTAATTGCTTCAAGTGACAAATAATGAATGGCGTAAGTGTCTATTCAGGGAAAGGTCTACCTGGCAGCCGCCATGCAGGTCTTTCTTTAGAGACACATTAAGTCTATGAGTTTCAAAGCATATGCTGCATCAGATTCTGCCCAAGATGCCTGAAACCTGTTTGGAACACTAGCAAAAAAAAAAAAAAAAGCAGAAGTTACAGTGTTCTTTCTTGAATTCATTAATAGTTTATTCTTCTAGCCTAGACCAATGAAAGGAAGGCAGATATTAAATGGTCCATGATATCCAAACAAAGGAGTGTCAATGCTGTGCACCAAGCCTTTTCACCAAGCCGCTGGAGTGTCTGAGAAAAGGGGATTCCTGCAGAGATGAAGAGAGAATTAATAGACAGTCGTGGGCTTCAAAAGCAGATTTAATCCTCAGGTTTGTTGCTGTATAAGAAAAGGACCCACATTGTAATTTTTTTAAATTCTCTGTAGAGGACAGAAGGGGAAAATAGAAAGATAAAATTTACCAGAGGGAAGGCAGACATCCTACACGTATAAGTAGTAATGCAAAGTTCCATAAGCCTCAGGTAAACGACAAAACCATCCTAAAAGGTAAACTTCTAGAATTCCAGAAACATGGATGCTGGCTTTAGGGATGAGGAGCTTCCTGCCATGTCACAGGTGTGCCAGAGGACCTTGCTATTAAGGTTTAACTTCCCAATGTCCATTAAGAGAAATTTATTCATCTCTCAAGAGTCTCCTTAAATAGCAGAGAAATGATCAAAAAAAATGTGTGAGCAGATATTATCTGATGTGTTGTGTGGTGGATTGGATGAGAATGGTCTGAATAGGCTCACATATTCAAATAGGTGGGTTATTTAGGAAAAAATGAGAGGTATGACCTTTCTGGAGGAGTTTTGTCATGGGGAGTGAGCTTTAAGGTTTCAAAAAGCCCATGTCAGGCCCAGTATCTTCCTCCTTCTCCCTCTCCAACTGATGTAACCCTAACCATAACCTTAACCCCTAGTCCAGCTTATATGTTCCAATACCATGTCTGCCTGCCTACTGTCATGCTGTCTGCCATGATGGGCATGGACTGACCCTCTGAAACTGTAGGCAAGTCCTCAATTGAATGCCTTCTAATAAATTGCTTTGGCCATGATGTCTCTTCACAGCAGCAAGAGAGTTGGTTCAAAATCAATCATTTCCTCCCTTCTCCAGCCCTCCTTATCGCCTATCACCTGTTCAATGGCCAAGTGTCCAGACAGTCTGATTTTTCCTAAACAGTCCTATAAGTCTCACAGCTAAGGACATCCTTTCCATTATGGCAGTCCTCAGCTAATAAACCATAAGATATGTTTCACACTGATCCTCCAATGTCCTCTTTGTGTCAACGACAGTGTTGAAATAATTAAGTTTAATCCTATACTGTTGATGAAATAGGAGGACAGGTAACCTGGGCCAGCAATTCTTCCTGTGTTTATACTGGGACTCTGAAGGGGACAACCAGAAATGTGGAAAGTAGTCAGGTGGGCTGTGAGAGCTGATGATGCAAGCCAGTGACCTTTGTAGTATCTCAGCTCCTAACATACCCCTCAACAAGGAAGTAGGCAACAAGTCAGTAATGAGAATCAGATGGCAGAATCACAGGGAACTCAGGGTCTAGGTCTTCTTCTGCATGATGCACATTGCTCCAGTACACAACTCATCTCTTATCTCAGCATCTGGGACACGTGTCCGCAGCT